GGCGTCCCGTGTCCCATATACCAAAATTAGAATATCTGAGCAAAGTGAGGATTGTGGGGCCTGCCAGCGTTGAATACCCAGCAACCCAGGGGATTGACTGAGCAGGCCAAAAAGAACTAAAAAATAAGAAGAACAGGGAAAACAGGCATCGCCTGCTGGAAACCGGGTCCAGCGTCCATGAATCTCCCTTTATAAACCAGTATTGTGCTGGAAAGCGGATCCAGCATCCTTTATCCCATCTACTCTTCCAAACCTAACTGAGAATGCATTGAAGAGGACAGAGATAAGCAGGGATAAACAGGGATAAACAAGGATATTCCTCCATACCAATCCTGCAGTGGGGTTGGGTACAGGGGGGAGAAATACTGGGGGGCACCAGTGAAGTCTCCCTCCCTCCCCTAGCCGCTGCCCTCCACCTACTACCCTCGTGGCGCCTATTTGCACTCTGCAATGGTGTGTATATTTAAAAAGGCTGAGCAGCAGAAGAAGGCTGAAACTGAGCTGCACAGAGGTCAGCTGAAATCATCTACCTTTTGACTAATATTGGCTGAAGCATACTGAACCTGCTGGAAACCTACTGGAAACCTGCTGGAAACCGGGTCCAGCGTCCCTCAAATGCTACCTATAAAGCCTGCTTTGCCTGCTGGAAACCGGGTCTCATGCAACTGGTAGTATTTCAGCCAGGGCCAGCAGGTGGGGTGGGAAAGGGTCTGCGAAGTCCCACAATTGAAGCGGCGATAAGTTACACCGTCCATTTACATTTTGTTTCACTCGAAGTCATCCGTCCGGCATGGCGGGTTCTGTTTGACTCAACGGAGGCACGAAAGGAGTCGATCCATGATTTTTTTTTTTTTTTTTTTTTTTGGCGGGGGGGGGGTGGTGTCTATCGATGATAATTGCCAGGTTTATAAACGTTATACCCGTTTCTGGGCACTTGAGATCCTTGCCCAACCAATACACCTGCCAGCACATGTACAGAACCTAGGTCTAGTGTGTGGACCAAACACACCTGAAGCGCACCGCAGACTCAATCTTAATTTCTTAAATGCAAATGAAAAAAAAAAAGATGAGAGCATAGGGTGGAACCGGTGAACCATTCGAATCTCTGGATTTTCAAATGAGGCATACAGGGCCCCTAGTACATTTATTTACAGCAGCAGCCTAGCAATAGGCGCGAAGCGCTAGTCTGGTGGTGTACACAGTCAACAGACGGGAAGGAGGAGCCTAAATTGATGGACTTGAAAGAGCACATCACATACTTCAAGTTGATCAGTACGATTCCGTTTACAAGCGAAGCGCTGGTCTGGTTTGTGTATACAGTCAGCAGCAGACAGGAAGGAGCCTAAATCGATGGACTCAAAAGAGCACATCACATACGTGAGCAGCGCGATTCCATTTACGCGTGAAGCGCTGGTCTGGTTTGCGCACAAAGTCAGCAGACAGAAAGGAGCCAAAATCGATGGACTCGAAAGAGCTCACGATGCAGTACGAATCCGTTTACATTTTTTGAGAGTGGTGATCCGCTCCACTTGACTCTCAATCGAACACTCCCGATATTCGATCACGGACGTATTCCTCCGAGAGGACTCTCGAAAATCGCGGGCCGTCTCCTCCGGCCTCGATTTTCGAGAGTGGGTCGCCTGTTAGGAACTTAGGACCAACAGCTGCCAATTTCTTTTTCTTTCTGAAATTCGTATTCTGATTTTGAAGATGGAAATCCAGGATTCTTCTTTAAAATTGAATTTCTTACTTGACGTGGTATTTTTCAAACAGTTTTTACTCAAGTAATTAGTCCTAGTTTGTTGTTTTCAGCAAGGGTGTCTCAACTTGTGCTGTTGTGAGATCGGGGTCAGAGGTGCTGGAATGGATATCTCCTTTAGGGTTGGAGTCCCTCCTGCGAGGGTTACACAAGGTGGGTGGTGTGATCTTTGAGAGGGTAGGGGCGGTATTGAGGGTTTGTCCTTTTTTGGGCCACGCTGAATTTTGGGTCGGATCAGCTACGGCGGTTGGGGAGAGAGGACCAGGGGTGTTGATGTCAGCAGGGTGAGAGTTGAGAGGGCTGTTCCGCTTGGAGGGGGTGGGGCAGGAAGGAAGGGGGGTTTCTGCTCTGCGGGGGCATACTTTAGGGGGTACTGTATGCGACTAAGGGAGCAGGAGGGGTATCTGGGGGCTGTTTTGAACTGGGGCGGGGAGGCAAGGGGGCGCCTTCCCGCGGAGGCAGTAAACAAACAGGGGGTTGTCTTTTGGGGCAGAGGAGTAATCCCTTTGGCTCTTGTGACCCTTTACATGTAACTGAGACCTCAATAGGCGCTGGAGTTTTCATGGGGAGAGAGGGTTGTTTTTCCCTCTCTTCCCCTCTCCATGTGGGAATAATGGGCGCTGGAATGTTCATGTGTTTTTTCGGGATTTTTGGTGCCTGATTTTCCTATTTTTTCTCAAGGGGTAACTACGGCGCAGTCATGAAAGCAGTTTGTAATTGCATTTGAAACTGCGTTTTAGCAGTTTAGTCAGGGCTTGAGTTTCAATTGCAGTTGAAACTCGGCGTGCGCAGGTCAGTCAGGGCCCTCGTCTATCCACGAACAGCAGATAAAAAAAAAAAAAAAAAAACATCCCTTATGCTGTGATTGCGGTCCTATGCAGGATGCTACAGTGTTTGTCTGGAACTGAATGAAGCGAGGCAGTTAGCTGCCTCGCGTGGAATCCGCCCTGCCTGGCAAGCAGGGCGCTACAAGGACCTCACACAAGAAACAAAAAAGGAAAACGACCTGTTTCATGATTCTCACTTCCTGGCCAGATACATTCCTCAAAGCACTGGTGAGGTGAGGGCCTTCCCGACGTAGGTGAATTCGAAGTTCCTCGTTTCCTTACTTTTTTATTTCTTCTTTTTCTTTTTTCTGTTTTTGGCCTCCATCCCTGCCCCGAGCCCCCCTCTTCTTCGGAGTAGGCTACTCTTGAGACTGCGCGTTTGCCTGTGAAGGGTAGTACCTGCAAATCTCGGCTGTGGCCAAGACATCTCGGCCGTGGCCCAACCATGGGGCTGTTTTTTTTTTCTTTTTCTTTTCTTTTTTTTTTYTTTTTTCCAGCCGCGGCACGGCACGTTACGGCACSCAACCAAARAGGGGAAAAAAAAAAAAAAAAAAAAAAAAAAAACCCACGAAGAAAGAAAGAAACGGCCATGTCCCTGACTGAACTGGTAGAAAAAGCCAGCCCGAGTTTCAAACTGCTAAAACGCAGTTTCAAATGCAATTGAAACTCAGGCCCTGACTAAACTGCTAAAACACAGTTTCAAATGCAATTACAAACTGTAACCCTGACTGCGCCGTAGTTTTCTCTTTTCTTAATTGGAAAATTCTTCCAAGGTTTGATGCTGGAGGCAGGGGGATGTGGTGGCTGTGACAGCGGGAGATGACACGCACTGCAGCGAAGGGGCGAGGCTGCAGGGTTGTAATAGGGTACATCAGTGGTGGAGATGGTGGCTTCATCGTGGTAAGACTTGCCGGAGTAGGGTTCTTGAGGTTTGTTGGGGGGATATCTGCAACCAGTGCATGAAGGAGACGAATAATGAGATCTACAACTATGGTGCTGATTGGTGACTTGACTGCTTTTTGCCTTAGTCCTGAGTCCCGGTGGGTTTGCGAAAAGACGAGGCAAGAACGACGCTGGTCGGTGCTGGGGCTTGGTCGTGCTGCCCTGTAACTTGAGCTGTACGAGGGCATGAGACCTGGTAGAGAGATCTGGGGAGTTGTCGAGGGTGGAAGGCACTCTAGTGTCTTTTGGTGAGCTGGTGCCTAGTCAATGCTGGCCGGAGCCGGGGCGGCTCGCTTTGCCCTGTGGTCTAGCAGGTGGGGGGTTTTCTGGGGTGGGTTGTGCCACTCTGTAACCTAGCAGTTGGGGGCATGAGGCCCGGTAGAGATTGGGCACCGAGATATAGGGGTGAGGCAGGTAAGGGTTGGGCTGCTGAAAGGCCCTAAGGCAGGTGGTTTTTCGTTCCGAATGCTTCTTTGATCCAAGCTTTGGGGGACACAGAATTTCAGTGTTTCTTGTTTGAAAAATAAAAAGCCGAAGCCGGGTAATGGCCCCCGTATCTCAAGGATATCTTCAAAAAAGGTTTGTTTACAGGTGGTTCTGAGAATGCTTTAGGATTCTGGGGACTTCTAGCAACTCGCTTTAAGCTGTTTGATACTGGTACATTCATGGATCTGCGGTTGTTTGATGCCAGAACGACGCTGGCCGGTGCTGGGGTGTCGCCCTGTAACCTGCTACTGCAGGAGCGTGAGGCCTGGTAGAGAGATCTGGGGATGCTTTGGGGTGGGCATTCCAAGGGACAACCAAGGGTTGCTGTTGGGATGTTGCTGGCCTGAGCTGGGGCGAGTCGTGTTGCTCTGTAACCTAACCGGGTGGGAGTGTGAGGTCTGGGAGAGCTCGACAAGGAATAAGACAGTGTTGGATAGCTTTAGAGAGTTTTGCTTGGGAGTCTAGGGGTTCTGAGCATTCGAAAAGAGGTCAGTAGTCATTCATAGTTTTTCAACCTCTCTTTAATTCTCTTGAATTTCTTCAACAGTTTTCAGATTGATTCTCAGCCGAAGCCGGGTAATGGCCCCGGTATCTCAAATGAGTTGTGTAACTCTATATGGGACACTGGGCCCAGTTCCCAGCACTTGCTGCTCCCCACGAATAGACAGGAGCTTTTGTCCCCCCCCCCCCCCCCCCAAAAAAAAAAAAAAAAAAAAATCTTTCTCTTTGCTTATTTCATCCCTTTCTTTTCGTTATGCGTCGAGAACTTGAGACGAGGGAAAAAAAAGGAGGAAGAATAGAGGGTGTTTGAGAGAGGTGTGAATCGAGAGTATGTGGAGAGAGGCATCAACTTCACCCGATATATAATTATATATTGAGAGTCTGACAACTTGCAAATCCACTCTTGATTCTTTAGATGACTCCAAGGTACTGGAGCCAGGCCCTATGTCCTTTGAACTCCTACACTCAAGCCTTACTCAGACTCCGACTTTCTGAAATGTATCTGATCTCAATTATGGGCGGGATGCTGGACCCAGTTTCCAGCAGGTGAAGCTCCCCCACCCATAGATGGGAGTCATCCAGCCGCGAAGACCTCAATCCCGGTGGTTCTCTCGCCACCACTGGAATAGAGGCCTAGCACAAAGGTGTTTCCCCCCCACCAAAAAACAAAAAAAAACAAAACAAAACAAAACAAAAAACCTTAAAAAAAAGCAATTACTGGCAAAATTGGATGAGAGATTAAGGGAATACTCACGGGGACCTATAATCCCAAAATCCCCCCAAAAAAGGGAAAAGGCCGGTCACACGGATCTACCAAATTCGCAAATGTACTATTCCAGTGCCCATTTGTCAGCGGCCTGGGAAGCCGCGGGGCAAGGGATTTTGCGGTCACCTCTGGAGGTGACCGCAAATTCCCTTTTTTTTTTTTTTGCATTTTCTTCAAAAATTGGCAAAAAATCGTTCAGAAAAGTTCTTGCCCAATTGGTGGATGGCGCCGTGTGACCAGCCAAGTACCAAATCCCCATTTCTCCAGACGGCCGCAACCTTGTCCCATCTGAAAAGGTACAGCAGTGTGACGTGAACCATGCCCAAAACCTCAAATCGGCCCTTCCCAAATCCGCATATTTTGCGGATTTGGGGTCGCCGTGTGAGTATGTCCTAAGAGACTGAAGAAAAGGCTCTCCTTCTTTTTTTCTTTTTTTTTTTCCAGTTAATAAGATTGCTTTGCTTCCAAATGCACATTTTAGTATTTGACAGTTGCTATGTGGACAAATTGCATTGCTTTAATGTATTTATTTGTTATGCAGGACAAAAATTCAGTAGAGGAAGCATATCGCAGCAGACTCTCCTTTCATTCTGATTGACGACCCTTTTTTCAGGCTGGCTGTTGACTTAGTGGTGGTTTAAGGGGGAAGGAGGAGGGGGGGGGGGGGGGGGGAAGGGGGTTAGGAAGGGGAAGAAAAGAAACCAAAAGAAGATTGAAAAAACAGCAACTCTGCAACGTTCACATCACCTTGCCCACTGAAAGCTGAGGCGTGAATAATTTTCCTTCAGGCACATTTCCCTGCTCGACACAAAACACCAAAACACACAGTGAGTGGCAGGAAGGGGACGAGGAAATAAAACAAAACACGACACCACACCACACCACACCACACCGTGCCCCTGTGGCGGACCCACCAGGTGTGGTGCTCCGCCTGGGATAGAGATGGAGATGGAGGATGAAGGGGGAGCGAGATGGCACAGCGCAGCTCCCACGCCGGACTCCAACGCACGTACTCCAAAATGTGCCGATGTAGAATGATCTCACAAACGGACAACAGCTGGGGTATACCCCAGCGGACTGACTGGACTGGACTGGACTGGCTGGTACCGACAGAGATACCGGCCTGGACTGGACTACCCCGAATACAACACAGG